TGTGTGTGTGTGTGTGTGTGTGTGTGTGTGTGTGTGCGTGAGTTAATAATGAGTTCAAGGTGACAAAATCAAAGCATCATATTTCAGCCTCTTCCTTCATCCAAAATACTTGTCTTGTTAAATTAGCTTCTTTATTGTTTATTATATTTTTTGAATATAGTATGTTGTAAGTGTTGTAGTATGTTGTATAATATACAGTATATTGATTGAAATGTGGAAACATCATGTTTTGGAAAGATTTTACTCTATCGGTATTAGCATTGGCCCCAAAAAATCCATATTGGTAGATCTAGATATTTTATAGAACCACACATTTTTAGATCTGTAAATCCCTCAAAGGGTGAAGACACTTATTCTTAAATAATGTGTTGAAAGCACCTTGAACTCATTATTAACTCGTAAATCTCTGACTGTTAGATTACAGTTCTTCATGCTAGTATTTATCTGAGAACAGAGAGATCGGTCCTGCTGAGCTGCTGAGGCTCCCCTGACACTGTGACACTGACATTCTACACAGAATGAGTCCTCTGACTGAAGTGACTCACAGTGTGCTCACACACTCAAGTCATACCACAAGACAGCACAGGCTCTCACACACACACACACACACACACACACACACACACACACACACACACACACACACACACACACACAGAAAATGTACACGTTTTATGTTATCTAACACCCCGACACTGGCTGATGGTCACCACCAACACAGAATCACACAGTGTGTCGCTCCGCACTGACGGCACCATGCCTCCATTGTGTTGCGGCCGGAAAAAGAACAGGGGGTACGATCCTCGCTGGGTGAGGCAGAGGGGTGAGAGAGGAAAAGGAGGGAGGGATGATCACTGGCGGCTGTGTGGGTGAATGAACTGCTCGTCAGGCCATCTCGAGATTGCACCACTCGCCCTTCTGTCTCTTTCCTTCCCTGTCAGCTAACTACCTCATAACATCCACTGAGCAGTGTAAGACATCGGTCAACAAGAGGAACTGAGCTCATGGGCATCGCGGTTTTGATCAATATTAGTCAGAGAGTATTACGACAGGGACTTACTGTACTGTTCATATTTTTGTTAATGTACTCCAGCTGTTTGGACTGTTTTAAAAGTGTTATTGTCATTGTTGATTTAGCAACACATTTTTTAGATTTCTGGAAAGATTCAGGTTCATAATTCCAAACCATGTTATTACTTGTAAATGTTTTCTTGCTCTAACGTTCAGAAAACACATCTTTTTCCTCTAACTGTCCATTGCTGCAGCTAATCTTTTTAGTCTCTATCTGGTTTTAGCGACTGTCTCTATAAGACCCCCCCTCGGATGGGCGTTTAGCTTTTTAACTTTGCAGAACTTTTTACATTCACAAAAAACCTACATTTCACGCTATATAAAAGAAAATTGCCATCGTCGAAAGCATCATAAAATATTAGAAAGAAAAAAATACCCATAATAAACTCTAGGAAGAAATGTTCATTCAATTCAATGTACATATTGTACATATTTCATATTTTATTTTTATATTTCTTTTATATGCCTATACTTCTACTCTTTTATGGAGCAATCATAACAAACACAATTTCCCCCTGGGATCAATGAAGTATTTCTGATTCTGATTCTGATTTCCAACAGTTTTATCTATTACAATCCAAAATGCAAATATATTCAGTTTGCAAACAGGAAAATACATGAAAACTCTCAGATAAGAGAAAACAATGGATGTCAGCCCCCAAAACAAGAGTATGGAAGAGTATGTGAGGACTTTCTTCAAGTTTGGACTGGGAATAATAAAAAATGGGTTTTGATCCCTACACTGTCGATGTGAGTGGAAACTTGCAGTTACAGGGGTACAAATTGTCCTTGATTCCTGGCAAGTCTGTGCTATTCCTCTTTATGAGCCTATTGAATGATTATTTGTGTTTGCATTGGTGTGGACCTGTGGTCTGTCAGAGCAGCTGCCCATTCCACAGCTGTGAGTGTAGGTTACCGGCAGCGGGTGCTGGTCAGCACGTTGGCAGCCTCCTCGGATGAGTCAAACCAGATCCTTCAAGCAACCACTGCCGCCTGCCCCTCACTCCATCAGTCTGACTCAGCCTGTCCTCCTACTACTGGACTTAATACAGGCCAGATATTTGGCACGCAGCTGTGGTCTGCAGGCAGTAACAGAGCCCTCCTCCTTTTTATATTCTGTCCTTTTATCTGTTCATGTCCTCTTCTCCCATTAGTCCAGCTTGTGCCTGCTGCTCTGTCTTTACCCACCAACCACAAAACCACAAGGTACAATGGATCCAGTGGCAGTGAGCCAGCAGGCCCCCTCTCTCTCTGGGGAGGGTGATTACTCTGTGGTTTTGTTTCAGCCATGAAGAGGGAGGATTTTCAAGTCTTTGAAACTATAGAATATAGTTGCAGTGCTGCTTTTTAAAGACTAAATTGCAATCAACCAAAATGGATTAAAAGAAAACCAAGGGTGTTTTTATAGCATTGTTACAGTGATTTACAAAATGTTGATACTTGTGTCACAAACTGAAACTTCTTCTTACGTGACTTACTAGAATGCAAATCGCTGGCCTTTGACCTCTGACCACCCAAATCTAATCAGTTGATTTGTGAATCCAAGTGAATGTTTGTACCAAATTTGATCAGACTCCTTCAAGGCTTTTTTGAGATATCGTGTTCACAACAATGGAATGGACAGACAGACAACTTGAAAACATTAGCATTAGAAACTGTCTAAATGTGGCACTAGGTGCTGAGTGATGGATGATACCTGTGAGGTTGAGTGTGGAGGGCGACAGGGCCACCGGGTCCGTCAGGGAGTTGAGAGGAGCCCCGTCCTGCAGCCAGATGACCCTGACTGGCTCTGGAGGTCCGTGGGCCACACAGCTCAGGCTCAGGGATACGTTTGCCACGACAGACATGGGCTGGGGCTCCACGGAGAAATGAGGAAGGCCTGAGGGAGAATTAGTTGAATCAAACGTTTTCAACAATCCAAATAAATCTGCTTTGTAGCTGTCAGGAGATGAACTCACCCTCCAGCTGGATGCTCCCCTCCTCTGAAAAAACCTGCAGATGTTGCGACAGAACTGCACATCTGTAGGAGCCCATGTCAGGAAGCTGCACCTTCTCGATACTGTTGTGTGAGGAACATGATTTCCGTGCTTTCATAAATATCAAGCAATCACAAAACCAAAGGAACCAAAGTGACAAAAGTGGCAGATAGAGGCAGAAAGAGCCTGATTACTTTCCTTCCAGATTTTGCCATCCAATCATGCAGGCAATAAACACATTCAGCTGCATTATTGTTATTTCAGACAAGTTGTCTCAACAGCAGCTGGAAGTCCTTGCATAGATCCCACAGAACTGGTTAAGCCAGGTGAACGGATAAGGTGGAGTAACAGAAAGTAAAATACATTCACAGCAGATGACTGACAGGTTTAGCGAAGGTGTGGTTGCCTCGGAAAGCAGCAAACGGCGCCTACCTCAGCGTGCTCTTTATCGTCCAACTGTTGCCGCCAGTGTGACCTTGGAACTGGTTGGTGTCTGCGTACTGAAGTGGAACACCATCTCTCAGCCACAGCACATCAGGCGGGTCCTCCTCCTCGCCCCCCGCACCCTTCAGGGTGCAGTGCATCCTGACGGGTTTGCCCAGCGAGGAGACTACAGTGGCAGGACTCCGCTCAAACTCCAAATCTGTGATTAAGAGAGGGCAGAAGTAGGAAAAGTGGGTTTGTGTTTTTGTCACAAAAAACCCAAACATACAGTTAAACCTTAATTAACAATCTGGAGCTTTCCTGCTGTTGTCCCTTATAAAGTCTCCGTTAGGTCTGACTTCATAATATGTTCATACAATATTGAAATGGGATTTTGACTCAGTAAATCTAGATCTTTGGACTTCGGATCGGGTTATTCAAAACTACTTTTGTAAACACTATAAACATGACTTCCCTTGAAGGCACAAAACGAAAGAAAACTAGAATGTCACGCAGTAGAGCATCAGTATCAGTCCTCTCAACATAGCATATTTTTCATCAACATCCATGAATTATTCCCTGGGAAATTGATCAAAATGTTGAAAAACTCTTTCAAAAAAACGTGGATCCACCACAAAATTGAAAGGTTTCTTCCCTGATCTACACCACAGCCTCCCACCAAGTTGCATGGGAATCTGTTCAGTAGTTTTTGTGTTCTTCAGCAGACAAACAAACAAATGCAGACGGCCTTGACAGAGGTAATAAAATCTTGTACGCTTGTGTGTCCACCGAGGCCCAAAAATCATTTTAAATTCTGCACCAAATCCGTCATGTTTGTTTTGACCATAACTATAAGACTACTCTTACTAACTGTTGAAAAACTGTATGTAAAACATACCTACCAAGCCCAAAACCAACAGATATTCAATTTAAAGTGAGATTAATACATTCTGAGAAACTGCAGCAGTATTTGGTTGAATGAACAACTCAAACATCTAAATCCACAATATTGATGTTGACATCAACTGATCTTTTCACCTCTGAACCTGTCATTGTGTTGTTTGCTCACTCTGACAAATTTGTTCATTAATGCTGGACTGGTTTCATCTCTTTATCCACCACCACACCACCTCTTCAGTGAGTCCGGTTATCTGGTGGCCGAGAGAGGGGCTGACCTGAGGAGCACAGAGCTGATACTGGGACAAAGGCTCCTTGTTACGGCTGCTGCGACAGTGTCAGAGCACACAGAGCTCAACGCAAACACTACAAACATCCTGGGTTCCTCTCGTACTGCAGCAATGGGCTTGCAGGTCGTCTGTGAATCTGCTCGACGTCCACAAAGTGAAGATCACCAGAAATATAATATATATGATTATAAATGTGTCATGGCTGCTTCTGGCTTCTCTCACATTTCAGACATTAGACGGAAACAAGGGATGATGTAAATCATGTGTGCTGTTTGAAAACGAAAAGAACAGTCACACCCCTGGATTTTTTAAGTCCTTCAGTCCTTGGGTTGTAGGGACGTATCAAATAAAAATGCTAAGCATCCGAGGCATGAGCCCCCTGCACCTGATAGTAAAAAGATAAAATAATTTGGGAACCTTCCAACTAGGCTGGAGTTTTAGAATTTCTGGACAGGAATAAATCACACGTTTCACTGAGTGAAGCCAGTAAAGATTTTCTCAAGCTTGTCAGCCCATCCTCATCGTCTATTTCATGGCCGACCTTCGACCCCTTCACCCCGGAGGGCTCAGAGAAAAACACACATAAACACACATTATTCAGCTGCAGCACACAGACCTTTAAACAACTGGCAGAACTTTTTTATCTCCGCTGATGAGTGTGTTTTCAATTGAGAAAAAATTCCCGAAACATCACTTGTGTAAATTTAAGATGAGACTGAAAAAATGTCTGTTTTTGGTCAACTTAAGGTTTAAGTTAAAAAAATATAGACTGTGTTTAAATTTGTCAGAAGGATTACGCAAAAACTACTGGAGGGATTGTACCATAAAACTTGGTGGAAAGACAGGGTATGTGTCTGAAAGAACCAGGAAATATATGTTTCTTTAATGTTAACAAAGTCAACTCTGCCGTATGTACAGGACAAAAGCAGGGTTGAAAAGCTGTTTCTCTCTGATCCCCTGTGAAAATATGTAAGTACACAACATGTGAGTACACAAGCGACATATAAGTACCAAACATCAAAGTACCAAGGGACATATTAGTACACAACGTAGTCCAAGTACGTAGTCGAAAAGGCACAGGGTACAGGATATGAACTGCAGTGTATGATGCAAAGCGGAATAGTGCAAAGTAGATGAATCAGTGCACATACTTTATGACTGTGTGCAATTACAGTAAAACAGCAGCAGTTAAAGTAAAATAACAGCAGATGTTGTGACTTCATTTTCATGTTTTCTGATATTTTATGTGTTTGGTGCCATTTGGTGCAGATCCAAATACAAATCCAGATCTAATGAATGTAAATGGGGTTTCACTATAGTGAACTGTTGGGCCGTGGCAGATGTGTACGCTCTCTGGGTGTCATTCTAGTTCCCTCATATGAACATGCCCTTTACACTTCACGTGCACGACTCCAGCCTTCAGAGAGCTTGTTCTGGGAGCGTGCAATAAATGAAGGGGCCTGCTGAGTCTCTGCTTCACCGCCTCTCCGTCTCTGTGAGCTTTTTTGGCGTTAAAAGTCATTCCTCCTTTTATTTTTAAGCTTGGCTGAGTCTTTTCAACTATCTGCGTGGCCCTGACTTGTTTTCCTTTCTTTATCCTTCAGCGACATATTGAACAAAAACAGGCCCATTTTCTTTCTCTGTCTCTTTAGTGCTGCATTCATGTAATAATAAGCTTGTAAACCTTTTATTAGAATCCAGAGGAAGACAGAGGCAGCAGGTCATGGTCAAAGTGTGTGTGTGTGTGTGAG